ATATACGGTTAATCCAGTTTGAACACACGGGTTCTATGTATTATAACTACTAAAATTATTTTTCGCAAGTTTTATTGGCGCTAGCGGATGCAAACTATTGTTATGTGTGTATTGACATAGGTGCCTTTGGTAAAAACAGTGACTCAGGTATATTCAAGAATTCTTCATTGTACAAAAAGCTGACAGAAAGGTCATTAGATCTACTTGAGTCAAAAATATTGTTAATACAAAATAGACCGACAGTGTTGCCATATGTGATAGTGGCTGATGAAGCTTTCGGCATGATAGAGAATTTAATGCGTCCATATGGAGGAAGGTCACTAACTTATGTTAAAAAAATATTTAATTACCGTTTGACATTAGCACGCCAGCATGTTCAATGTAATTTTGGCATAATGTGCAATAAAAGGCGCATTTTACATAGGCCGTTAGATGTTAACATCGGTTTTGCAGAAAAGATCGTAAAAGCGATATGTACACTACATAATTATGTCAATAAGGGATGGCTACAATTTTGAAGATACGCTTTATACTCCACCACTGGAAAATCTAGCCTCACATTATACCGGGCGTGCCGTGCGACAGGCGGATATTGTTCTAATACATTTAACAAATTATTTCATCAATGAAGGAAAAGTTGATTGGCAGGATCGCAATATTTAACTTGTAACGCAAACTGATTGTAGATGTAAATAAATATAATATTATGTACTGACATAACAATTTCTTCTTTTCTTCATTGTCATGTCCTTCACAGAATATAAGGATGAGTTCTTCCCAAGCCCGTCTTTTTAAATTCTTATCTGGATAATCGCTACTTGTCATGTCCCATATCGCAGGACGTTTCTCTATTTCATCAATTAATAATTCCGAATTAAAAGCTTCGGTTTCCATTTCGGATGATTTCCGGACGAACTTGATGAACCCTAAAATACGTCTATCCGCGTCGAAAGCGCGCGCTCAAGCAAAAAGCTTTTTAAAGCTTTATTGTATAAATGATTTCTCTGTTCCTAATAACCTATCTACAATTATACATTAAAAAATTAAGAAAATAATTGTTTTATTTCTGTAAAACTATTAGATGTATTTCATGAAATTTCTCTAATTGTTCCATTTCAATTTTCTACTGGTGTATCTATGTTTAGCTAATTATGCTCTTTCATGTTACATATTGCTTTAAAATATTCTAATTATTAGTAGCTAAACAATGATACATTCGTAGAAAATTGAAATGGAAATAGTATCGATTTAATAAATAATATTGAATGTAAGGGTAAGTAATTATATATACGCACACCTTCAACGAGCATGCAAGGGTGCGAGGATTTGAGTATACATACACACATACGCATAATATAAGTAGCGTAACAATCACCAGATGGCGCTCTTTCCAGAGGGTTTCAGTTTTACTCGCAAGAGGGTTCTCTTTTTCCGTATATATTACTATACTCTTTGCGCTCAAATGAACGCGAACATAGAAAACCATAACCAATGATCTCGAAGCGTGAGTTGATGCGCGCTGAAAACAATCGAGCGCTAGCGCAGCGTTCAATGCGCGCTTTGTAAAAACACGCGTTAGCATGTGTACAGTCTGAATAAAATGTATGTAGTTGTAAGCGCGCGTTATCAAAACGCGCGTTGAGTGCTTGTCATCTGAACGTGGCCCTATTGGTTCTCAAAACTCTTCCGTTTTTGATGCTAGCAAAAGATTTTACCTTTGCATCTGCATCGGCTCTAGTTATCTTATATTTCATATAATTTCTCGGATTACAAGGTACTCTTTTTCAAAAAGTTCCGGAGTACCAGGAGGCTGTAGCAATACTTTATAGTCCGACAAATTTGATAATCCGACACCGCCTTGCAAAACCGGGGGAAGATTCTTCAGATATAATTATGTATTTTTGTATCTAATTAAAAATTATAGGAATACGAGGATGACACTGAAGGTTCTTAGAAAATCAAAAACTGAACAAACTAGCAAGTTATTAGTTTTATTATATTTTTTCAAAATTGTGTCCATATAAATCAATATATCGCTGCATCCGATGGAACTACTGAGAAAAGCCCACTCGTCCTTAGGGATCTCTTCGACGGCATTTTGAAACGCAGCCACTGCTTCCTCGGCGTCTATAAAACGTTTTCTTTTATTTTCGGAAATAAATAAAATTCGCAAGTTGCGAGCTCGGGGCTATAGGGCGGGTGACCCAGTACTTCCACGTCTGACTTCGCCAAGTAGTCGATTGTTTGCTTGGCGGTGTGCGACGAAGTCATTGCTCCGAACTTGTTCCAAGACAAGTGGCAAACAATTGTTAGTGTACCACTCTGCAGTAATCGTTTTTCGATCCTCTAAAATAATTGTTGCATAATTACCTCCCCTTCCGAATGAGGTCACTATCTTTTTTCCCGCGCTTCGACCTCTCTCCACTTTAGTTAGCAACTCCACGGAAGGAAACACTCAGACAACAGACTGTCTCTTCATTTCAGAATCGTAACAATAAATCCTGCTTTCGTCACCCGTAAATATGTCGAACACAGCATTTTTTTTTCTTTTTTCACTTTTTCTTCAAATTCACTACAGCAATCAACACAACAGAGTTTTTGAGCCGGTGTCGAATTTGAGCATTGATTGTTTTAAGTAGGGATCTCTTGATTATATTCGTAGTGCTGAAAACACGCTCAACTTCTGCATTTCAGTGTAGAAGACCCAACCTAACAGTAATAGCAAATTGTGCAATGCTCTCAAAAGGATTCTCATTTATTGTGTTTCGATATTTTAAGACTTCAGGTGCGTCCGGAATAAATATCTATGCCATTTGATAAGAAAGTTAAACAGGTCATTTTATAAAAATGTTAATTAAATATAATGTTTGTATTTGAAGCAACTTTTTTTCATTATTCTTATTCTTTAATAGATGCAACATTAATTTCTACTCTAAATACAAACATCGTCTATCACGTATTTACCTACTATCATTTTATGTTTGTTGATTTTGTGGCCTTTGCAGTAAGAGCAAAACGGTCGCATTAAAGTTATTATAAAAAACCTTTGCAACGTAGCGTAAACAACTTTGTATAAATTGACAACCTTCCACAAAGTGTTTGATAATTAAAATAAATCCAAACTTTAGAAAGATCAATTAGTCAACGCAACGGTTGTGAATCAATCAAATTATTAATCAAACAAATTAAGAAATCCGAAAATGTTATCGTACTATTTTATAAATAAAACAGAGAAGTAGACTTTTTATTTTAGACCTCTATGTAGCAAACTAGGGTTTATAAATGCACAATATTGGAACGGTTTCAAAGAAAGCATGCCTTGTAATTTTCTTTATCTATCCAAATGCGACAGGGACTGAACTAGGGAGCTGGAAAACTCTTGCTTAGAGATCGATTTAGGATATTGCCTATACTTGCCGGAACATATCATAATTTAAATTAATTTTTTGGTAGAGCCATGCTGCAGTTATATTAGTGTATAGTTGTAGCACGAATGGGTAGGCTCGACCGGGGAAGGACCACGCTCTCACAGAATACCAGCGTGAAATAGTAGCTTAAAGCTGCTGTGTTTCGTACGGTGAATGTAGAGAACTGGAGACCCTTTTTACTAGAAACGTGGCATTCCATCTTAGTCCTCAAGGTTGACAACGCATCTGCATTTTCATTTGTAATCGAGGATAAACGTAGACGTCTATGGGCCGCAGCAACCACTTACCATCAGGTGCACTGTGTGCTCATTTGTCACCCTATCCTATAAAAAAATGAGGTGGTAATTAAGGGTCATCCTCCCTTCACACTTTAAATTTCCCCTGCTACAAGTTTGTAGTAGCCGGATTTAGCATGAGAACTACTGGGGTTTAATTTATACACTGGATATTAAATTATTATACATATAACACTAGTATGTAGATTCTACTACAAAATATATGATTATAGACAGAAATTAAAATTTACTTTAAAGTTTTGATTTACCGTAATTTTTTGTATTTCTTTTAGCAATTACTTTATAACAATAGATACGCAGTGGTCAAAGTTTCGTGCTTCACCGAAATTTTTAATTTTAGAGTGTTTTGTGTATTTTGTTATATTTCTTATATTTATTATAATTAATTAAAAAATTAATTATAATCGTTTTCTAAAAACAAGGTATTCTGGATTATTTATTTCATTGTCGAAGATATTTATCATATTTACAAAAAGCCAGTAATTTTAGCAAGTATGAGGTACTTTACTTACGGAATTTTAGGAAACCTATCAAATTGAATTTTAACTCATCTTATGTTGTTATTAATTCGATAAAAATATGAGGGTAGTATAAAAACAACAAATGTTAAACGGCTTCGAAGCTATATTAACTTATAGGTATTTTATATTAAAAAATCTCATTCTACTATTAGAGTTATCGGCACGAGTCTTGAGAAAATTTATTGGTAGATATGACGTTGAACACGCTGACACTCATCGTGATTGGTTCGTCAGTCGATGATCGTTGTCTATTGTTTTCGCACGCATCATTCATTCTGCTACCGCACACTTGAGAGCAATTATAGATTACTGAGAGCAATTTTAGCATCGTAATACTGGTAATACTATGTACTACGCACAGTACAATTTAGTTCAATGAATTTCAGTGACAACTTTTTAATTAGTTTACTTTTGTTAGTTGTTTTTATTACCTCTTGTTGTTAATTGTTTTTATTTCTTGTTATTACTTGTTTTCGTTGTTATAAGATTTGAGTGTTCAGATTTCGATCTAAATATGCAGGTAAGAAAGAATTTAATGTTAAGTAGACAATCCCCACAAATGATCTATTCAGTGTTTTTTACGTGAAAAAATAGGTATTGCGAAAAACACGATAGACGTTTATAAACAGACTGCTGAGGTAACTAATGTCTCAGTAGCTACTGTACGGCGTAGAGTTAAAGGAGCTAATGATTTAGAATTTCTAGTAGCATTTTGATAAATATAATGGAGGAATTTATCATTAAAGGGGGCAATGATGACTCTCGAGTCTAGTTCGGAGGATGAGGATGACGACAAAGATTATGGTGAGGATAGTGAAGATGATGAACTGAAGATGAACGGGGCTCTACTAGCACGGCAACTCCAGATTTTACGGAAGGCATATCACCTCTTCCTTCCTCTTATTAAAATATACAATTCGAATCACATGTAAATTGTTATATTGAGATTTAAAGACGTAGATATGTATTATATAGGTACTATAAAGTAGATAATTAAATAACGGTCACGAATATCTGCAAGATTACTGCATCAACGTAAATGTTTATGTTTTCAGGTAAATATTTCATAAAAGTCGGCGAAAATATTCAATTACGAATTAAAATAATACAGGTACCAAATAATTTTGCACGACAGTGTACCTACGCTGGCTAAACCGCTACCACATTACATCAGTGCTCACGACGACTCGTGCCGGTAACCATAAGTGTATCATACCATAGAAAGTATAATCGAAAATGGAACTTAACGTGAGGGAAACTTTTTTAATAGTCGCAAAACTGCCATGGTGTATGTTTTTTTGTCAAAGAATATCTAACATCATTATTATTACTGAATATATCTCTAGTATTTCTTTCAGGGTTTTTCTCCAAGTATTATGACCAAGTTACTGCCGAAGTTCATATTATGTCTTTGAAATTAACTTCAATTGTGATACAAAAGCCTGTAATTACGACGCTAACTACATTAATTCTGACATGTTTTGTAACAATGGCAATTTTTACATCGCTGACAATATTTACTATTGTCTTAACGATATTTGCTGTCATTATTCTAGTGGAAGGTATTTACGAAAAAAAAAGTAATTTTCTATAGTAAAATACTATTTATGTTGGCATTTAACTTAATTTTTTTTCTTTCAGGTCTTATAATATTCGTCTCAGCTGTTGCAATATCACTAGTTTTATTCATTATTGCAGTAGTAATAGCTTGTCTAATCGAAATTTAGAGATAGATTTATAATTTAGCGTATTATAACAAACATATTATTATTTCTACTCCATTCATAATTTTGTCAACGTATATAAAATTAGTGTAATTGTGTACATTTATAATTTTTGCATTATCATTAAAGTGAAATCATAAGTAGTTTTTATTACTCATAAACTAATACCAAAAATTAAATAGAAGCACTGACGTAACTGATATTTAAAGAAAGTATTACAAAAAAACGCGAAATTACAAGATTTTCTCGTTGAAACATATGATGTTTACCGTTCGTTGCTTGAAATAACAATTACTTAGTAAAGATAGTTCTTTTTATCTACTACAATAAGCTCAGAGCAAATTATAGATAACTTATTTTTTTTAGTAATAATCATTCTCCTGATGCATGCTTAGGCTAAAAACTCTGAGAGACGTGATTTGGGATTGGGAGCTCTAATTTGTAGATTCTATTGAATATCGACCATCAAAAAAATATTTTTATCTCACAAATATCCCTACACTTTAAAAGGTAATGATATACTATAATACATTATCGTTATATGCGTTACGTGAAGTAAGGGAAAAAATCGACATATGTAATTCGAAAAATTACATATTTAGATTTTTTACAAATTACCGACCGAAAAAGCTTCGATAGGAGCCCCAATATTTCCAAAGCTCTAGATTATTTTGACGTAAAATTTATACCAAAATAATGATCAACATTTGTTTAAGATCTATGATTTTTACTTTTTAAATCGGTACTGTTATTTTTTAAGTAATTAAATAAAAGTACCATATATTTCACTGCATCTGCCATTTGAATTCACAATAGGGTATGTTACCCATTTTCAAAAATTGTTTTAAATGAAGCCTAGAGTGAGACTATAATTTTTTTTTTAAAATGAATAGTGCCATAAAAATTATTATAATCTATCGTTTTAAATATGGAGTAAGGAGTACAGACTGTGTATTAAAAAGTGTCCACAGAAAACCGTTAAATAAGGGTGGCCCCACTATAACTACGGGATAAATTTTAAAGAACGCACCGAAAATATTAATGGGATAGACGACTTTTTCGTGGTTATATTTACTTAATAAAAATATTTTAGATTTTAGAGCTACTGAGCAGGTTAGCAGCACACTTAAACCGTCGACAACTGCTAAGTTATTTCGTCCCATTAGCTACTCCAGCGCTGTTGTGGAGAGTTTTTGAACTGTTATTTATTGCTTACAGATGGCCTCTTTTTCAACTATTCTACTATGGGTGTTGATACTCCTTACTTCAACACTCCATAGTTTTAAATTTTCGCGTGAAAACGCTAGCCGCCATGTTGTTCAACTCATGACGTCACAGTCGTCGTTTCTGCCGATTTTGCCGGAAACGGCTCCAATGATTTTCATAAAATTTTGTGTGCGGGGAGTTTCGGGGTCAATAAATCGATCTAGCTAGGATTTATTTTTAGAAAATGTATTTTTGTCCATGTTTTTAGGCAATGAAAAACTGCTACAATATCGTTAGAATAAGAAGGTAAATTTTGAAAGTTTATTAATGATTATAAATAGTTTAATTGGTATATTGGGCGGTCACAAAATAGTAATACCATGGTTCGAACCCAGTCCGACCGACCGACTATTTTTAATTTCTTTTTTCAAGTTCCTTTCTTTTTTGAAAAAATCTATTTTTTCGAGCCCTTTTTTTAGTATTTTTAAAAAAAAAAAGAAAATTTAAATTAAACTAATTGCACTCATGATTTTTTATTCAAATAACCAGTTCAGTTTTTTCTATTATGTCGTTAAGTCAAAAAATATTATTCGTATTTCATCAGTATGTAATTTGTATCTAAATATAATTTCCAAAACACACGAATTTAAAAAAAAACCGAGCGAAAAATACCGAGCAAAGCTCGGTCAACCGGGTACTACTGTTAATATATTAATGAGTTATCATCTATATCAATATTGTGTTGTACCTGAATACAAAAATACGAGCATAAGAACGCCGGGAAAGTTGTGGATTAAAGTGCCAGGTGAAAGGTATCACAAGTCAAATTTTGTAATAAATTACATTAACTTAAATATTATAACTAACGATTGCTAATGATTGTAATTATAGATAAACTATGTTTAACGATTTCTTAAATTTACGCGAACACTACACATTGAATAAAACTATTATTTACGAATTTTATCGCGTTTAATTATTTTAATTTATTTTTATTATTATCCCGACGTTTCCACCCATGGTCACGGGTAAACTATGTTTTATCAAAATACACTCTGAACTGGTATTGTATTTTTGTGATTATAACTTAAACATTTCGAAATAACACACAACGTTAGGTAGTTCTCTTAATCAGTGACACAGTTGCAGTGGGGTGTAAGAATATCCACTAGCACATATTATTGTCCGTGGGTATCGTAAGAGGCAACACAGGGCGACAAAACAGAAGATGGACAGCAGCGTCTTCTAAATAACAACTGCAAAAATAAATGAAACTACGATTTTCAAGCCTGCCAAGCGTTGCAACTAGTGCACATATCCACCATATGAAGCAATCTCTAGGGAGGGCCTTTGTTCAACAGTGCACCTTATATAGGCTGTAAGGGTAACGGTATTAAAAAAAATTGGTTTCAAATACTACTTTCTGGCGAAAAGTACACTGTTTTAAGCAAATTAGTTATTTATGTATTCTTAGTGAAGGATCCGGGGGTGACGCCGTGACTGGCACGCCAGACACGGACCTCGATGACACTGAGGTCATCAGCATGAAAGAGATTGAACGTGCGATTCGATGTTTGAAATGTGGTAAGGCTGCGGGACTAGACCGAGTTACTGCTGAAATGGTCAAGTACGGTGGGCCTCGCGTCTGGGACAGCTTCCATCTGCTGTGCAATTTGTGCTGGCGGACGGGAGATGTCCCGGATGATTGGCGATCCGCGGTCATTGTGCCTTTATATAAAGTTAAAGGTTCACATTTTGAGTGCGGTTGCTATCGGGCGATCAGCTTGACCAGTTTAGCAAGTAAAGTTTACTCGAAGGTTTTGACACGTAGGATGCAAGAGAAATCGGAAAGATTCTTATGGGAGGCACAATGCGGATTTAGACCTGGAAGAGGATGCACGGATCAAATTTTTTCTCTCCGCATGATCACGGAGAAGCTTCTGAGTGTTAACCAGAGGATTTTCTGTGCTTTTGTGGATCTGGAGAAAGCATTTGATAAGGTTATAAGGAAGAAAATGTGGGAACTGTTGCCGGGATATGGTGTCGATGGTCGATTGTTAAGGGCTGTGCAGTCACTTTACTATGACTGTAAAGCCTGTGTGCGGGTAGGGCATGACCTGTCACCCATGTTTAGCGTCCAAGCGGGCGTAAAACAGGGTTGTGTCATGTCTTCCTGGCTGTTCATACTGTATCTCGACAGCTGTTTACAGAAGCTGAAAAATAGCAGTTTGGGTGTGAAATTGGGTGACATAAAAGTTAATTGTCTGCTGTATGCTGATGATGCAGTGCTTATTGCACCATCAGAAGCAGAACTGCAGGCATTTGTCACGTGTATGAAAGAGGAATGTGAAATTAAAGGTCTCCGTTTGAATGCTAATAAAACTAAGGTTCTGGTATTTGAAAAGGACGAAGAGAGAACGAAATGTGAAATATGGGTAAATCAGGAATGTCTAGAACAGGTAAATGAAATTGTATACTTGGGGAGTGCTTTCAGCCGGGATGGAAGATGTGATTTAGATGTGGATAGGCGTGTCGCTGCCGGAAACAAAGTCAATGGTGCCCTGAATGCATTAGTAAAAAAGGCAAGGCGTGGTGAAGAGTGCACGCCTTGCAATACATAACGCAGTGTTGGTACCGACTTTGTTATATGGCAGCGAAACCTGGGTATGCCAGAAGAAGCATAAAAGCAAATTGAATGCAGTGGAGATGCGATCTCTTCGTAAAATGTGTGGCGTTACCATAGCCGACCGAAAGCGAAACGAAGAGATTCGCAATATGGCAGGATTGAAAGATGACCTTATCACAAAAATTGATAGGGGCTTACTCCAATGGTTTGGGCACGTTGAACGAATGAGTGAAGACCGAATGGTGAAGAAAATATATAGAGCGAAAGTAAATATTAAAAGGTGTCGAGGTAGACCAAGACTAACTTTCGAAGACCATGTGAGCAAATTGCTCGAAGAGGGGAGGGTCAAGAGTACTCGGATACCTAGACGTGCATGTATGAAGAAGTTAATGAACCTGAAAGAAGCGAAAGAGGTATGTAAGGATCGTGACACTTGGCGATCTGTTCTCTCTGGCTACCCCGTTAGGGATTGTGCGTGAAGATAAGTAAAAAAAGTAAAGTAAGTAATTTATGTATTACTTATTTATTTGTGCTGGTATATGAAATATATATTTATGTATATTTATCATTTCCTTTTATATATTTATTCAGCCCAACCAGATGAGAATACACTAATAATAATAATTTCGTATAATAATAATAATAACAATAATAATAATAGTTCGGTACATCCTGCGCTCCAACATATTTGGTGACGCCGAACTCGAACGACTACGACGTGAGGCTGTTCCCTCATCGAATGGAAATGCTACGGCTGGGAATGCGGCGCCACTAGATGCGCAGCAAACTGCATATGTGGATGCTGCCGTCAATATTCCATTTGTGGTTAATTCAGACGATGATGGGATAGTCTCCCACGAACTAGAGAAAATGAGGAGCATATTGGAAGAGTCGATGTTGGAAACGCGCAGCATGCCTCTCGAAAATCGACCGCGACTTCCCCGCATACCCCTTAGCAAGCAAAATCGGGCTGTCGTGCGGGCTCTTAACCCAATGCTGGTGACCTATTTGGAAGCCAGCCGGGACCTTTGCGAAACGGACAATTCTTTTTGGCGCAGCACTGGCAGTATGCCGTATTATTAGCGCCAAACTTCCCATAGCTGGACGTGCTACTCAACAAAGTAGCCCCATCCCAGCCTGGAGAAAAAGAATCGAGGACCAAAGCAAGCAAGCAGCAAAGGCAAGGGCCCTTATCGACAGACTGACAAGCTTCAGGTCGGGTAATAATAGACCGAGAGTTCTGCGCACCATTAGAATGGCGTTTGCTGGGACAAATATTAGTTTGTCCCAGCCGGATATCACGCAGAAACTAACGGAGCGCATAGATGGCCTGAAGCAAAAAATCGCTGCTTGGGGGAAGCGGATTCGACGATTTAGCGAAAGTTCAAGGCGGTTCAACCAGAATCGTCTCTTCCAGAGTGATCAGAAGAGGCTCTATAAATCATTGGGGCGACCAGAGGTATGTGGAGCGGGCCCAGGACCGGATCAGGCTGACACTGTGTCATTTTGGCGTGGCCTGTGGTCAGAGCCCGTAAACCACAGCTAGGGCCCTTGGATGGAAGTTGTGGCGAGCCAGAATGCAAGTGTTACGCCTATGGACCCCGTCACCATAACGCCTGAAGACGTGGCTGAGGCGGTCCGTAGGGCCCCGAAGTCCGGGGCTCGACGGGCTGCATCATTACAGGCTGAAGGGGTTCGCAGTGTGTCACGCTGTGCTCGCCCAATAGTTTCAAGAGGCTCTCGATCAGAAGTCGCTACCGAACCTCTTCACTACTGGGATCACTCACTTGGTTCCTAAAGATCAGGATACCACAGACCCGAGCAAATACCGCCCCATCACGTATCTACCCACCATATATAAGACACTGATATCCATTTTGAGCGCGAGAATCACTCGTCACCTGGAGCTAAATCAGGTGATGTCACGCGCTTAAAATGGATATCGGGGCGGTGGTCGTGGAACCAAGGAACCACTCCTCATTGACGCGGTTATTGGCAAAGTGTTGAAACGCAACCGTCGGAACTTCTCCGCCGCCTGGATAGACTACAGAAAAGCATTCGACTCGGTGCCCCATACATGGCTAAAAAGAGTCCTCCAGCTGTACAGCTGGAGACTTCCTCAAGCAGTGTATGGGGCAGTGGAGTACGATCCTTTGCTATCTGGGCGAGTGGATAATGGCTGCGGAGAGCCACATAAGGATAAGAAGGGGTATCTTCCAGGGCGATTGTCTGAGTCCAATCTGGTTTTTCCTCTCTCTGAACCCTCTCAGTACTTTACTAGAGGGCTCCGGGAGGGGGTTTCCCATCTTTTCTATATGGATGACCTCAAGTTATTCGCCTCCAGTCGCTCCCATCTTATGGAATTGCTAAACATCACTTGTGAATTTAGTTAGCAATTCTATTGGAATGGAGCTGGGGACGGATAAGTGTGCGGTCCTCCATGTTGAAAGGGAAGGGTTGCTAACTCTGAGGGCATAGACTTATCTATGCCCGTCAACTTAAGGACCCTTTCCGAGGCTGAAACATACCGATACCTGGGTATGTCACAGAACATCGGTAGCGATGAGGCTGGTATGAAACAGTCAGTTTGCGACGTGTTTTATGCACGCTTGACCAAAGTGCCTTTTGTCCGGTGTGAATAAGACACACGCATATAACGGCTGGGTCATGCCTGTTCTCATGTATACCTTTGGCATACTCAGGCTGAACTTAACGCCCTGGATAGAAAAGCAAGACCTATTGAAAGATGACTGAACTATGTAAAGAAAAAGAGAGGTTCAAGACTGAATCATTATAATGAAATAAAAAAAACCATTTTTATTGACTAAATCATTACGCCGCATTATGCCGCATCTGGTCCGAACTACATTCTACATCAGTGTAAGTTGATTGTGGGTTCTTGTAAGCTTATTATTAATGCGTTTTATGATAAAAAATTGTATTGTAGCCTATGATTTTGCACATAAAATATTATAAACAATAGATGTAAGATTAAAATAAAATAAAATTGAACTATTAAAAAACTTTATGTCATTGAGAAATATGATAGTTTTGACTTTATTCAATATTTAGTTATACTAATTACTTTAAAACTTTATTAAATATATAAACTCATTTATAGGAAATTTCATAGAGAATTCAGAAATGTATACATATTATAGTATTCGATATACCAAAATCAAGATATTTGCGTTTAAACTGATTGGGGCCAATCAGCCGTCCATTTTATTAAACAGCTCAGCAGTCAACGGAGTATTACGGTTAGAGTCTACGCAGCTGAAAGGATATATTTATCCAGCCCACCCAGATGTGATTACTCTATCAATAACCCAAATAATAATAAGCTGAGGATGCGGCGCCACAAATTGCAGAGCAACCCGCAAATGTGGATGCCGCCGTGAATACCCCAGTTGTGATTGATTCAAACGATGATGGAACAGTCGCCCAGGAACTGGAATTAGAGCATATGAGGAGTACATTGGAAGAGGCGATTGTGGAGACGCGCAGTACGCCTCTCGAAAATCTAATGCTTAATGACCCACGCAGTATAACCGATTATGCAAATGACTTGCGGAACAAAATGAATGACATTTATGAGTACGTCATACAATCAGGCCAGCAAATGTCCGAAAAGATGAAAACCCGGTATGACCGGAAAATGAACAACAAAGGGTTCGACGCAGGTTCAGTAGTGTGGTTGCATAATCCAGTCCGCAGCAAAGGGAAATCTCCTAAGCTTCAAGCGAAATGGGACGGCCCGTACCGGATTGTGACCAGGATCAACGATGTAACCTACAGGATACAGAAAGGCGCAAGAGGGACTCCTAAGATCGTCCATGTGGATCGCCTGGCGTGTTACTATTCGCCAATAATGCTCGCGACGAGCATGTCTTAGGAGGGGGCAGTGTTGCATGCCTAAGATGACGTCAGGTGCCTGGCACTAGCGCCATCTAATGTCGGGGAAAAGAGCGAGGAGGGCTTCCTAGAAAATGTCAATCTTGACTTTCGACCAACAGCGCCATCTAGTATCGAACAGAAGAATTAAGCTTTCTAGAAGCCCCACACTCGATCTTTCTGCGCCTGGTCGGTTGGCACCCGTATTTACTTGAATATTCTGAATGTTTCGGTAAAAAATTTGTATTTAAAGGCGCTGCAAGATGCGATCTAGGCAGTATTGAATTTGGCGAGACAAGCGAAACTTCGGAGCGAAATAAAGTGAATCAGTGTGATTAATTATTAGGGTCTTTTAAGTTTTAATTAGTGTAAAGTGAATTAAAGTCTTAATTTTGGTAATTCAATCGGCAGTTTTTATTGTCACGAACCTCAAGCTCGTAACAATATCATGTGCCATAGGCAAAAGGGTACTGATAATTAAACAAATTTTTTCTAATGTGTCCAACCTAGTATAAAAATGCACTGTCTCTCTGTAGAGAACAATCTTAATATATTAGATGTTTGTGTACTACTAGTGTTGTGGTTTGGCATAACAGATGCATTTCTCTACGCAAAGGTTGTCTGGAAGAAATCATTTTCAGAGTGATAACACCGCCTTTTGTACATACTTTAATTTAGTTTTAACTGTACTTGATGTTTCTGTATTTTGGTGTACAAAAAAAGAATAAATAAATAAATGCAGGTATTGGAGAAGAACTATGTTCAACCAGAAGCTCTTGAGATACACTGCAGTCTTGAGACACACCAATATCTCCTTCAAGTGATCCTTTAAGAGGTTATGTGGTAACCAAAGCCTTCGTATTTTTTATCCTTCGGTATTTGGTGGGTTCCGACTTCAGAGCATATATTTATAGACAATACAGCGCGTCATTGTAACTGTTTGAAATTATTTTCTGAATTCTACCATAGAAAAATGCAATGTTTTGGGAACAACCTACGCTAGCGCCACTTTGACAGTTGCCAACCCCATTACTGTAATGAGGTCCAGAAACTGATAAGAAGTTCTAGTCAAATATATTGTCAGAACAGATGAGATCTTTTGCATGAAGTGATACCACAAACTAATAAGAAGTGTTAGCGCAGTGATACCAAAGACAAAGAGTATAATAGGAATAATATTGGCTGGGCTGTTACTGTTGCTCTTATATCTATGAGTGAAGGTACCTCTACCGTAGACAAAGAATGAGCATTGTCTTTCTACGATCTCTGCACTACATGTCATAATATGAAAGCAATATAGCGTGCATGGAATATTGAAGTAGGGAGGACAATCTCCCATAGGAGAATAGTTGCAAATGTGTCCATCCGTAAGCAGTAAATAACAGTTCAAAAACTCTCTACAACAGCTTTCGAGTAACTACAGGGTATGATAAATCGCCGTATTTTACGGCGTAAATATACGTTGAGAGTGATTTTTAAAATAAATATCTTGAAAGCAATAAAATAATTATAACTATAAACACTTTCACAATTCTACCTTTAGATAAAGTAACTGCATCTTTAGACCATCTTAACTCTATAAATTCTAAAATTCAGTTCACAATGGAGTTAGAGGCAAACAATTCCTTAGCTTTTCTAGATGTGTTAGTAATTCGGAATCCTGACAACACCTTGAGCCATACTGTGTATAGAAAAAAGACCCATACAGATAGATATTTAAACGGTGATTCTCACCACCATCCTTCACAGTTAGCTACCGTGGGTAAATCTTTGTTTCAGAGAGCACGAGGGATCTGTGACAGTAAACACCTGGCTGCCGAGCTCCAACACGTCAAGCAAGTTTTGTATGACAACAAGCTTCGGGTCTCGCGCCTACGTCACAGAGAACGAGTGAAGCCGGCCACAGTCGAGCGTGTACCTGCTGTACTGCCATATGCTAGAGGAGTCACTGACAAGATTGGCTACATCTTGAAGCGCGCTTCCATCAAAACATACTTCAAGCCGCCGAAGAAGATTGGTCAGTTTTTACTATCAGTCAAGTGTAACGTCCCTCTGCAAGATGCAGGAGTGTACAAGCTTGATAGTGAATGTGTTCTCTCCTATATAGGACAAACTAAAAGATCAATTAAAACCCGCGTGAAGGAACATATAGCTGATGTGAAGAATCGACGATCCGGGAAGTCTGCAGT